CAGGGGAAATATACAAATGCCTTGAAACACATAAACTCTACAATGATTTCAGAAGAAATATTGAATCTCAGCCTGTGCAGAGATTGAATTACTAATTTTAAAATCCTCCCAACAAAAATCTTGAATCAAATGGCCTTACTGGGAGATTCTACCAAACGTTTATAAAAAAATTGTGACACCAATCCTGTTTAATATTTAAAAACAAATGAACAGAAAAGAAGAAAAGAGAAGACTTCCCAATTCACTCTATGAGGTGAGCATTACCTTTATCTTAAAGCCCGACAAAGACACCATAAGAAGAATAAAAAACACTGTAGATCAATATCCCTAATGACCACACCAAAGAGATACTAGCAAATTGGATTTTAACAATACATTAGAAAGATTATGCATCCTGATTGCATGGAGTTGTCTCAAGATGCAAGGGTAGTTCAACATTAGAAAAGCAATCAACTTTATACACCATATTAATGCTGCTCTTGTTGTTAGTTGCTGTCCGGTAGGTCCCAATTCATAGCAACCCTACTTACAGCATCACAACATTCTCCCCATTCTGTGTCATTCTCACAATTTCTTTTTATGCTTAAGCTTACTGCTGCAGCCATTGTGTCAGTCCAACTCACTAAGGATCATACTTTTTCCACTAATCTACTTTACCAAGTATGGTGCCTTTTTTCCAGGGACTGGACCACAAGTTCAGCAGTTCAAAACCACCAGCCCCTCTGCAGGATAAAGATAAGGTTCTGCTTCCATAAAGATTTTCAGCTTCCAAATCCCTGTACAATGTCTTTATGAGTTGGAAATGATTAGATGGCAATGGACTTATCTTGGAATTTGGTCTCTCCTTTTACAAGATGTCCTAAGTATATGACATGGAGTTTCCCCACTCTCACATCTAAAGAGCGTTCTGGCCATATTTCTTTCAATACATATTTGTTTGTTCTTCTGGCAGTCCCTGGTGTTTTCAACGTTCTTTGAAAATATCATAATTCAAATGCATCAATTCTTCTGTGGTCTTCCTTTTGAAAAACCCAGAAATCTTAATTGAAACAGAAAAGGCACTTGACAAAATTGAGCACCGTATAATAATTAAAGGAGCCCAGGTTGCATAGTGGTTACACATTGGGCTGTTAACCACAAGGTTGAAGTTCAAATCCACCAGCCACTTCTTGGAGAAAGACTAGTCTTTCTACTTCCATAAAGGATTACAGTCTTGGAAACCCACCGAAGCTGTCTGACTTTATCCTATAGGCGTTGCTATGAGTCAGCATCCACTTGATGCCAGTGATTTTGGTTTTTATTTTTATAATGATTAAACTACTCACCAAGATGGGAATAGAAATTCCTCAATAGAAAGGGTATTTATGGAAAACTAACATCTTACTCAGTAAAGAAAAACTGGGAGTTTTCTTATAAGATCAAGAACAAGACAAAGATGCATACTCTTACAATTGCTATTTAATGTCATTCTGAAAATCCTAGCCAGAGCAAGTAGGTAAGGGAGAAAAAGAAAGAAAGAAAGAAAAAACAAAACGAGAAAAGTATATTAACTAGGAAGGCAAAAGTAAAATGATGTTTTTTCACAGATGTCATGCTATTATAAAAAGGGAACCCCAAAGATTGCCTAAGAAAGCTATTAGGCCTAATAAATGAATTCAACACTGTGGTAGGATACCACGTCAGCATACAAAAACCAGTTGTGTTTCTATACGAGGGACTACCTGCCTCCCCCGCCCCCAAAACACAGCAGCACCAGAATTGTGCTGGGCAGAGTGGAGCTTTCCTAGTTAGCATTTTTTCTGCTAGATGAGCTTTCAGCAACTCACTCTGAGTATACCCAGTGGCATTGCCCGGAAAGTTTCTCTCTGGCCAAAGTGATTTTTTTTTTTGCAAGCAGTTTTGCTCAAACCTTGTTTTATTTTTTGTTATAGCCAACTTAAGAGAACAGAGTGAGGCCGTGAAATTTTGCTGCAGAACTGTTGTGATGTTGTGTGGGATAGATAGATTATTCCCCAGGTTGTCCCCCCATACAATATGCTAAATGTAAGATGCTGCTTGCTAACACATAGTCAATGTCCATACACTTGGAGGTGAGCTGCTTAAAGGTTATCTCTCTGAGGATTATCAGCCATCTAGAGCAATCAGACCCTATTGTCTGTCCTACCCTAGGTGAGGCCCACTCCCTGCTGAAAAGGATAGTGGATTATTACCCCGAAGGAGAGCCCAAAGACTAGGTCAAGCCAACTC